TCCCCAGCCAGCAAGGCTGGCTGGGGAATTCTGGGAGCTGAAGTCCACACATCTTAAAGTTGCCGAGGTTGGGAAACACTGCTTTAGGGCAACAGGCAAACTCTTCCATGGAGAAGAGTAAGGATGGAAATGGGTCCTGCCAGATCCATTTTCCCCAACATGCAGAGCTCCCAAATCTGGGCTGTAATAACCCAGATGACCTCCAGATGGCAGCAAAGGCATCAGAAGGCTGGCTGAGGAATTCTGGGAGTTGAAGTCCACACTTCTTAAAGCTGCCACATTTGGAAAGCACAGTTCTAGGGTTTTGTCTGAAAGTACCACACCTGTGCTGTCTGAGCTGTCCGTGGTACTGGAATGTTTGGCTCCTCCAATTCAGGTATCGACCCTTCGTTGCTTTCCGAATCGTTAGAAGATCCTGAAAAAGAGGCAGTGGCTGAAAACAGAGAGCACACAACACAGGTTTTAGGCTATTACATTTTCTCGACGGCACATAGCACAGGTTTTGGGCCCTGGACTGCTGCAGCCAACTTATTTATTTTCTCCTAAGGCTGAAATAATTTCAAGGCTGTTTCCAGGCATGAAAAGATGAAAAGCCTCCTTAGAAACCAAGCATGGGAAAGTTTGTCATCTTTTCAGAAAGCCAGACGTGGTTGTTGAAATGTCTGGGCAAAGAGGAGGCTTAGCTGGACATCTCAGTGGAGTTGAGCAGGGCTGGCCCCAGGCAGGCCATCTTGGGGAGGGTCTTCCCCAAGGGGGAGAGCGGAAATGCACAGAGCCTTCGCTCCTGTCCATTGCCAAGAAAGTAGATATTTGGGAAAGGACTGTGATTCCTTGTATGGCTTTATGGGCACCTCATGACAAGCTACTATGTGCAGGGCAAGCCCTCAGTTGCACTACACGGGAACTTCCCTGCAAAAAGGACTCATCAGACCTTTTTGGCGCATGAGGGAAGAGGCTGAGTTCACACAAGGCCCAAAGCCAAAACAAATCCAGCCTCACAATGGCCTGTCATGTTAAATGAACGTAGCCACTGTGGTCTGTGGCTTAGAAAGTTGGGTTGAACCCATCAGTTATGGCTTATCGAATAAGCCGTGGCTTAATGCATGGCACACAGAGGACTACACGTAACAGGCTGTTTCTGAATATGGGCATTATTATCCATATATTCCTGAGAATACTGGCTGGGAATTCTGGGATTTGTAGTCCCAGCGATTTGGAGGGGGTCTGATTGATGAAAACTAGCCTCATCCAATTCCCCCTGGACATGTGGATTAACATGCATAAGCAGAGACAACCCACAGGGCTCATAAGACCACACCAGGGCATCCGTGGATTGCGTGTCAAGATGACTGCTGCAACCGTACGACTGAAGCCCCCTCCCACTTCTTTTGCATGCTTCACAACTGGCAGGAGTTCCACTGTGTGGCTGCCACCTCGACTCTTCCAATGAGCCCCCAGTCTAGGCGAACGTTCCTAAAATGCCGACTAGGCCTTCAACACCAGCCAGCACAAGGTCTCTATTCGGAGATGGGGCAACTGCTCCAACCGACTTCCGCAGCCCAAGCCGAGATCCATATTCATAGTGACCCTCCTGCCCACGTTAGGGAAGGCTGATGGGGGCCAGTGTTTACTCTGTTCACAATGGTTGCCCGTGCCCTCGCCCAGAGCATTCCTTCGCCAGCCTGCTGCTACCCAGGGCTGGCTCGCCAGCTTGTGCATTTCTGGATGACCGGTAGTTCTCTGGAAACGCAGCTGCTGTCTTGGTGCAGGGCGGGGTGGGGAATAAAAGGCTTCGGAGCGCTCTCTGCGCCACTTAAGTGCCAACCTGGGGACCCTGCTTTCTCAGGGGCAGCCCTTAGAAACCTCCCTTCAGCAGCAGCTCAGAGAGGAAGCCTTCTCAGGGAGTGGGGCAGAAGATGTCAGCAGAGCAATGAGGGAAAGCTGGGCCTGGTAGGCCCACATGGCTAGCATGGCACTGCAGCCCGTGTACTCCTTCCCAACCTGGTGGCCCCAGGGGAAAGGGGCAGCGCCTGGAACTAAGTCAGGCCCATTTAGGGCTCACCAAATATGCATCAGTCTCCTTCCTTCCTTCCTTCCTTCCTTCCTTCCTTCCTTCCTTCCTTCCTTCCTTCCT